ACAGTGAGAAGACGCTGCTGGTTCCAGTTCCAGTCTGGTTATAAGGAACTAACCTGCAATGACTGGGTCACATACTGGTTTTATTCTAAAGAGATGGTTCTGGGATCAGGTTGTCCGGATCCAACAGAACCAAAGGAACATCCAACACTGAACCAGAGCAGGTTTAAGTTTAGGTTTAGGTTTGATCAGGTTCCTCCTTTGATCCGATGCGTTCTGGATCCTTTGACCTGTGATGTGCTGCAGCTAGAGGCTCCATCTGATCCCATCAGCAGCAAACCCTCACTAATCACCGCAGGCAGAATCTCTAGCCAACCGTAGATCTACAAGACTAGACACGCACAAAGAGGGGATCTAAGAGACGTCCAGTAAGAGGAAACAGATTAGAGCTCTGATGGATCGTTGACCATCCATCTTCTGCTGACATCCCAGACGTCTCTGGCGCCATGTAGGGACAAACAGGGCAACAACGCGGAATCTTCTATGAAGCTCAAGAAACACTTAAAATAACAATTACAAATTAATTATAAACAATTACATTTCTTAATGTATATTCGTCAAACACTTTGTCTGGTTTTAGTCTCATTGAGGAAAATAATTTTTTATTTTAGTCATGTTTATTTTCTGGAAACAATTTTTGTGCATCATCGTCTCTTCATCGTCACGGGAAAAAGGGGCGTTGATGAAATATTTTCGTCATCGTCCTGGTTGACCAAAGTAACACCTGTTGGACATCAGTTCTGGACTCGTTATGAATACTCTATGTATGCGCCCAGAATAGAAAAAATCTATAGAGAGTTGAGTGTATGCCAGAGTTTTAGGATATTGCGGAATGTCAGGCAGACGCTGGATAAATCATGGAGGTGTGACAGGGAGCTAAGGCAGCCGTGAGAAGCAACCACGTTAGCATTCCTGGTGAATCACCTTTCCACAGGAGGTGCCACCTCCTTTGATGATACACTCCTCATGAGATGTTGCAGATTTGCTTATGATTTATTATATGTGATATTAATTTAAAATGGACAGCTGCTTCTAATATAGACTTAAAATCTGGTTCAAACAGACTATATTGGCAGACCTTTTAAGTGAAGGGACTACATATCCCAGAATACTTAGAGGAAGAAGTTTGGAGAGGAAAATTTGCAGCTCAAAGTCTGGCTGTAGGTGGAGAGTTATTTGTAGTTTTCTTATTTTCCGACTCTGCATGTTTGTTCCTCCTTTTATTCACTAAAGTTCAACTGAATTATTCAGTCGACTTCTGTTCATGTTTTATAACTTTGGCAAAGAGCCAACAGGAAATTCTCCTCATTAGGAATACAAAGATATGAAGGTGGAGGAAGATGCAAAGGCCTCAATAATAATGACAATAATAAT